GGTGTTATAGACAAATCTAGTAATCTAACCACGTAGACCTGCGATCTTTACATGTATGTATACATGTTTTACAATATTGACCTCTGCAATATCAAGTTATTTCATTATTCTGAATTCACTGACAAAACTACTTTTCTACTACATCATAATATCAAATGTTGAAATGGACAGCAACGTTTTAAGCGGCTAATAAACGGTCCAATGTTCCAACAATCGACGGTGTAAAAATGCTCCATTATAATTCGTCTAGTTTTATTATTGCTTAGTTATCATTTTCACGACACAGGTTGCCACAACATTTCAGCAGAAATCAGACTGACCGTCTGATGTTTTATGGTAATAAGAATGTAAGTTATCATTTCAATTATCATTTTGTACATTTTTTGTTATTCTTACCTTGAGAACAACAATCTTTTATATATGTGCAGTCTTTAATTTTCTTAATTGTAAAAGAGTTTATGTTAAAACCATCACCTAGCTATTACACATACAAACTAAACTATGTACCATGCTTGTACCAGTCGGGCATACTTCCTGATCGGGAAACAAGGGGATTCCCCTTCAAGGCTTCCCGATCAGGCAGTAAACGTCAAAATCCTTCCCGATCGGGAAGTTTTTTGGCCTATTTTTACGTAGTTCAGGAAAAATGGCCGCTGCATAATAGTTTTCAACCCACTTTTCAATTAAACATCACATTTAAGTGCAGAAAAGATACATCTAAAATCCTACCGAGTCATTTTCTTTTAAAATGCCTAAAACTAAAATTATCTGAAAGTGAATTTGAGTGAAGTTTTACGATACTAAGAAGTAGCGGCTTCCCGTTTTGGAAAACACTGTTTTCCTGATCAGGCATCTAGCATAATATTCACCATTAAATGTTTTCCGTTTGGGAAGTTTTCTTCTTTAAGTTAGCGCGTTCTATTCTGGAATTATTGCTTGGGACAACACCAACAAATAAAGTTATCTGTGCAACAAATCAACATGTGAGTCATGGTGTGAATGTTTTGAAGTCTGAAGTGTCTAGCAGTTCAGATACAAATGATAGCATCATAGGTGGTGCCTTCTTAAATTTTGTAAAAATAAAAATTTGAATATATTCGAATATGGAAAAACGAATATTCGAACATCAATGTAAGTTCTTATTCGTTCCCGGCCCTAGTTATTTTTATTATGCCCCACTATAAAGAAGAGCGGGTATATTGATTTGCTAATGTCCACACAATATATGTATGGCTATAAATTGCATGTATACAATTTTATGTTGAAAAAAAAAATGTTATGTTATGTTAATGTTGGTCGGCCAGTCCATTGGTAGACCTCAGTTATTATCTTAAAAACTATTAATCACAGAGTCTTCATATTTTACATACTATTGGTCATAACTATAGTAGATGAAACCTATTGATTTCAGGGTCACTTTGTCAAAGGTCAAGGTCACAGGGACCCTAAATGTCAGAATGGTTTCCGCTCATTATCTTGATAACTATTTCTCACAAAGTCTTAATATTTCCAAATTAATTAGTCATATGTAGTAGATGACACCTATGATTTTGTGGTCACTAGTTCAAAGGTCAAGGTCACAGGGGCCTTAAATGTCGGAATGGTTTAAGGTCATTATCTTTAAAAACTATCTATCACTAAGTCATTATATTTCACATATTGATTGGTCGTAAGTAGTAGATGACCCTATCAATTTTTGGGTCTTTAGGTCAATGGTCAAGGTCACAGGGACCTTAAGTATGTTTGTTTATCCGTCGTTAGACCACATTGTTTCTGCTGATTATCTTAAAAGCTATTTATCAAAAAGGCTTTATATTTCATATACTGATTGGTCATAACTATTAGATAACATATATTGATTTTGGGGTAACTAGCTTAAAGGTCAAAGTTGCAGGTGTTTTAAATTTCGGAATCGTTTCCGCTCATTATCTTGAAAAACTATTTATTAGAAAGTCTTTATATTTCACATATTGATTTTGTCATAACTAGAAAAATGACCCTTTTTGATTTTGGAGTCACTAGGTCAAAGGTCAAGGTCACAGTGACTTGAATGTCAAAATAGTATCCGCACAATATCTTGAAAAGTATTTTTTTCACAAAGTTTTCCTATTTCATGTGTTGATAAGTCATATGTGGTAAATGACCCTTATTGATTTTGGGGTCACCAGCTTAAAGGTAACAGGGTCCTTAAATGTCAGAATGGTTTGCGTTCATTATTTTGAAAACTATTAACCATTATTTGAGAACTGTTTATCACTAAACCTTTTATATTCCACTTATTGATTGGTTATAATTAGTAGATGACCCCTGTCGATTTTGAGGTCTTTAGGTCAAAGGTCACAAGGACGTTAAATGTCAGAATGGTTTCTACTCATTATCTTCAAAACTACCCGTTATCAAGTTTTTGGTGTTTCACATTTTAATTGTTCATAACTAGTAGAGGGCCCCTGTTGATTTTGAGGTCACTAGATCAGAGGACAAGGTTACAATAACCTTGAATGTTCAAAGTAGATGCTCATAGTTACATTTACATGATAGTATATAATTTATTCAAGCTATTCTCCATTTTGTTTAACTTACTAATGATAGATTTCATTCAATTTTCAGCTAGAAAGGGGGGGGGGGGGGGCATATATGTCATTATGATATTTCTTGTTTTATTTATTTATCTTATCTTATATTTTATTCATTTTTTAAAATTAAAGTGGCTTTTAAGGGTATGTTCTATATCTTACGAAATATTTAAATATTTATTAACAGCAAAATTATGCTGGTTCCATTATTATATGGTTGACTCCTGAAAAAGTAATGTAACATAGAATATTCACTGTTATTAAATACAAATGAATCTTGTAAGTAAACAGGAACACAATACTGTTTTGCTATATTAGCCATTCGCGTTTAAGGCAATAAATTACAATATTTATTTCACACAATAATTTTGGAAGTATACTTTTTTAAAATTTTAACAATAATTTTTGCATCAGATATATAGCTTTATACACTTAAGTTTCAGAAATATGACACAGTCACTACAAACACATGTAGTATGCAAACACGTCTTGAGCTATAGCCAAAAAAAAAATAAATATGTGAGCTCTAGTCAACATTTGAATTATTTGAGCTGCCTGGTAATTGTTTTGAGAAATAACACTCTATGCAATGTTGTTCAACATTGTGCTTTACAATCTTAACAGTATGAAACTTTTGTATTGTAATTGTCACAGGGTATAATTAATAATGAACTCCTGGCGTAGGTTCGTCAATTTAATATATAATACGAAGATAAAGCCTAAAAACATAAATACATGATTATAATACAAGTTAATTAAAACATACATAAAATACAACAATACAACAATTGAACGATGTAAATAAGAATTATTTCAAGTAAATGAATCAAATGAAAATAATCTTACCACAGCGTCTCAATACAAAAAGTAAATAACTTAATAATAAGTTATTTCCTGTCAAAAATTCTATGGAAAAACTTATAGAATTTATGTACTAAGTAGAATAGTATATCTTAACTCGTAAGAGAATAAAGACGAAGTGAAGTGAAGAAGGAAAGTTCGCGGGAATTTGGAAGAAAGGAAATGTTAAAAACCAATCTAAAACTTTCTCTCAAAACTCTTTCATACAACGTACAAAACGATTGGACATACAAAAACAGTTCACAAAATTGCACGAGATACAGACATAGTTGAATTGTTTTGGCTGTTTCCGTGAATTTCCGCTAATAAGCGTACATTACGGACCCATCCGATACAATACAATAGCAGACGATAACAGACGCCACGGAGACAAACGATAATCGACGCATGCGCGGACATTAAGAATACTTTTCCCGCGACTAAATGACGAACAGTGCACGGCAAAATGAACAATTAACATAATAAATAAAACGACCCGTGACATAATGATGATTTTTGTACTGTCCGTCAAGTATAGCTAATGTTTTGATAGGTATTATTACGCCTAACAAGAACATAAGTTTCGCCAGATATATTCTACTCGTCGTGATTGAATTATGTGCCACATGTCTTTAAAAACTGACCAGGCTTGGCAATTTCTAATCATCAAGGCCAGGAACTACAACAAATATAAGGTACTTCCAGATTGGGAAGCAATGTATCTTAAACTTTTAATGATGAATATTTTGCTAGATGCCTGATCAGGAAGCAATGTTCCCAAAACGGGAAGTGGCTAGTTTTTGGTAAAATCTAAAAACTTTACTTAAGTTCACTTTCAGATTATTTTAATTGTAAACATTTAAACAGATAATGACTCGGTAGGATTTTAGATGTATCTTTTCTGAACCAAAATGCAATATTCATATTGAAGTGGATTGAAAATTGTTATGCACCGGCCATTTTTCTTAAACTACATAAAAAAGGCCTAAAAAACTTCCCGATCGGGAAAGATTTTGACGTTTGTTGCCTGATCGGGAAACCTTGAGGGGAAATCCCCTTGTTTCCCGATCAGGAAGTATGCCCGACTGTGTACCGAGATTCTTTTTCATGATCATGAATGTTGCTATATTTGAATTTTTTTGTAATGAATGACAATTTAATCTGCTTGATAAAGTAAAGTAATATTTTATATTTCCTCTGAGAATGAAGATATAATACAAAAACAATACACTGTATAATATGATGTTAATATAATATTAACAAAGAAAATAAAAAGAAAAAAAATGAAAATTAATAAACACGTACATGTGTTTATAAATGTATGTTGAAAATATGAATAACAAATAATGGTTTAACAATGATATAACATGCACATGTTCACCAAGAATAAAAAATAATTGCGAAAGTCAAAGTATTAAAAAGGGTTAGGTCTAATATTTGAATGGCACATTCGAAATGTATTTCAATTTGTTTTAGTTCAATAATATAAATAAATAAATAGCGTCATTGTTAATCAAATGATCAATTTAAATTAATGTAAATTGTTCAGCTTTTATTTAACTGATAGGGGGCCGAATACAGCACGAAAACCGCATTCTATATTTAACTACAACAACAACTTTCTCTGTACGTCATTTCCTGGAGATTTTTAAAATGGCGGATAAACAAACTTTTTAATATATTTTTGTTGCAGACTTTGAAATATATATTTGTAGCGATTCAAGTGTGGTTTTGTTAGGTACATCATAAGTTTTACTTTTGTTACTTAATCATTCCTCGTCATATATATATTTGTAGATCTTGTTTCATAACATAACATAACATAAATTGCACTGTTTTCATCACATTTGTATTTTGTTGCATTGCTATTGGTCATTAAACACTTTTAAACTCACAGACACTGTTGCAGAGTTGGGGTTAAGACCCTATCCGTCAGCTTGGTCATTCCCTGTGAACTTCCAATACATCAAACTTTCCACATTTTAATCCAAATTGGACATCTGCGTTAATCATAATAGATTCTATTTTGACATCCATCTGTCATGTCTGTCGTGTTTATCTTGTGTCTCAGCAAAGGATGACTTTGAAGTCATAAACATTTTTCTATCCTGTCCACAACCAGTATTAAATTCAAAGATATGGGTTAAAATTCTTTATTTCTTTATTAAATTGACATGAAATGTCTTAATGAAAAGCAATTTTATGAAGGATGAAAATTGCGATGCTTGATTGCTTCCCCCCCCCCCCCCCCTCCCACATACACACATGAAGGGTTTCTGCATTGGACCTGCCTAACATGGCCGTCCATGCCCAGGGTATATGTGCATAATATCAATTTTGCCAAATGATACTGAATGACCACAAGTCTATGATCTCAGACAAATTTTGAATAATTAACATAAGATAAGATAAGATAAGATAATCTTTATTTAAAGTCGGTTTCATAAAAACATATAAACATTAGCTATACAAGCTATTTTCCGACAAAACTTATTATCCTATAACAATTCAAACAAACAATCTGTATAAAAGAAAATATATAAAAGTATTAAGAAGATCAATGTACATTTATGAAAGACTCTGTAAAACAGTTAAGATTTATCAGCACATATAAATATGGGTAAGAAAGCATTAAATGATTAAAAGCAAATATACATTACAATCAAACATCACATAAAATTACATCATACAAGAGTTCTATTTATGTACACAACCCTAAAATCAGAAAAAGGATTAGAATTTTTTAAAAATTTAAATTTTTAAAATAAATTAAAGTAAATGATTCAATTTTATTTTATTTAAATATAGTTAACCTAATTTCCAGTATGATGCTTCAGCACATATCAGTAGCAGCATCTGATATGTACTCAGTCATGAAACTATGGGTGTAACTAAAACATGTACAAGTATCATAATAATAAAACTTAAAAATGTTGAAATGTTTGTGTAACAGATGCTGATCTGAGTTGGCCTAGATAAATTCATGGTCTAAGTTAATTACTTAATTAATTAGAACAAAAAAAAAATAAAAGTAGAAATAAAAAAGGTAAAAATAGACTTAAAGAAGCTATTGTCCCCTTTATGGGATATATGAAAAGCTGATCAGCAGCTGTCACATATACACACACTAACATGCACTGACAAATGACTATACAAATATACACACAAGAAGCACATGAAAAGCATTACATGATAAAACAGGTCTTATACAGCATTACTCTATGGCAGACAGAAAATACAGGAAAAACAAAAGAAAGAAACAAAAGAAGCATGCAGATTCATTTGATTCACATTTCAAAACTCAACAAAAAAACATAACACTTAGGCACACATAGAACATTTGCATTTGAAGCCACTCCAGGTTTGGATAAGCCTCCGAAATTCACCGTAATCAGTTTCTGTTCTTAGTTCATTCGGGAGGCTATTCCAGACCTGGGTGGCCTCATAGCGAAAGCTTTTCTTACCATAAGTCTCTGTATTTACTCTAGGAACTTCAAGTGTGTTGTTATTTCTAAAAGAGATAATAAAGGAATTTACTTTAATTAGTTCTTGAACATATTTTGGTGATATATTTTGCAAACATTTAAAAACTTCAATAGCTAATTGTCTTAATCTACTGATTATGTAAAGTTGGCATATTAGCTTTACTTAAAAGAAATTCAATATGATGAGCTGTAATCCCTCAAAAACTATCTTCAATGATCTATGTTGTAACTTTTCAAGTTTTTTCAGTATTTTGTTTACTACAAAAAATGCCAAACTAAAGGACAATAGTTAAAATTTGAACGAACAAAGGATTTGTAGATTAACAATCTAGTATTTTGATTTAAGAATTTACTCAGTCTAGCAAGAATGTTGATTTGTTTTGCAGCCTTTTTGCAAATGTTAGATACATGTAAGTCAAAATTTAGTAAAGAGTCTATTTCAACACCAAGAAGTTTCACGCTTTTTTTCACAGACAATTTCTGTACTATTAAGACAAAAAGAGGTTAATTTACTAGTTGTTTGTTTTCCAATACAAATTGCCTGAAATTTGTCCGATTGGCTTGCATTAGATTATTATCAAACCATTTTATCATAGATAAACTTTCATTTTCCAGTATAGATTGTAAAGAGTCAATATTGGTATCACAGTAAGATAATGTGTTGTCATCAGCATAATTGTACACAGTGGCTAATTTAATAAAGTAAAAGATGTCGTTAATAAAAGATGTTAAAAATAAGAGGCCCTAGAATGGATCCCTGGGGAACTCCCTTACTTATTGACATCCAGTCACTGCATGCTTTACCAAAAGCTTAACCCTTTGTTTTCTATTTGACAGGTAGTTGTTGCATAAGTTCTGCGGCTGTGTCAGATAAGCCATAGGCCTTAAGTTTCAATACGATCAAGTCATGTGGGAGACAGTCAAATGCCTTTGACAGATCCATGAGTATTGCTGCTACATACTCATGTCTATCCAAGGCATTTTTCCAGTCTTCTATTAGCCGTAAAAGAGTAGTTTGACATCCAAATTTAGATCTAAAAGCTGCCAGAAAATTATGAAAAATGTTGTCAAAGTATGAAACTAGCTGCTTATTTATTGATTGTTCAAAAATCTTCGAGAAAGTGGGCAGAATACTTACAGGCCTATAATTTTTCTTTTGAAAAGGATCTTCTTTTTTATAAACTGGAGTAACCTGAGCCATTTTCAGGGACTCCGGAAAAGTATTATTAATAAAGCATTTATTTATTATACATTTTTATAGGCTCCGCAAGAGATTCAGCACCTGCTTTTATAATTTTTGGAGGTAGGTTATCAATACCTGTGGCCTTCTTACCATCCACACTGTGCAGAAGCTTATGCACTTCCTGAGATGTAACAGGTTTAAATACAAAATTATTATTGCTTTGGATTTTATCAGAGATAGCCTGTACACTAGGGTGTTGTTCATTAATCATTATATCACTGTTGATACCAATATTTTGAGCTATATTAACATAAAAATCATTAAGTATGTTGCATACCTTATTTTGATCTGTTATTAATGTATCATTTTCATTTAATATAATTTGAGCATCATTTTTGGCTGTATTTTTACTAGAAAGAAAAGGTTTATAGTAGGCCAGAAATGTTTTGACTTTGGTCCCCCACCACACCTTTCAAAAAAAATATATTTGCATTGAGTTTCTTTTAAGTTTTGTAACTAAATTTCTCTGTTTCCTATATTTTTCCCAGTTTTTATCAGTTCTATATTTGAAAAATGAATTTCTAAGTTTTCTTTTTACATAAATGGCTCTGCGGAGTTCTCCATTCATAAAAGGGGGAGATTCTTTTTTACCTTTTTTTGTTTGATTGGTGCATGTTCATTTACTACTTCTTTGAATAAGGTTTCATTAGCCCAATAAATGTCATCGACATCGTCAAATATGTGGGCTACATGAAATGGTACTTGTGACAGGTCTTTGTTAAAATCCTGCTCATTAAAATTTTTGTAGGATCTAAAATTTACATATTTAGATTGGGTCAAGTTACATTGTTCTCTAATGGTTGTAGCAATAAAATTGTGACAGTCACTCAGTCCTGAATCAAAATTTATGGTATTGCAGATGAGATTTGGTCTATTTGTTAGAATAACATCTAAATATGATGGCTCATAGTTTTTCATTTGGCATAAATATCAACAGCAAAAAAATTACGAACCAATAGAAAATGTAAAATACTTATGCACCTAATCACAGAACCACCAAACAGCTGTTCATATGAGACATATAATTATTGAAATGTGTATTATGCTACATAAATGTCAAGAGATTACGCAATTAGGCAAATTTACTAGTAATTTAGTGGTCATTTTCAGCTCTAACAGATACCAATTTACTTGTGTGATATTATATATTAAATTTCAATGTTCAGTATAATGTTCTCATAATTTGCTAAACTAAATGTTCTTTCATTTCCCCTCCTGTGTTTATGTCAAATAACTTCATATATTTATGTATTTCATATTGTAGATCAGTATGTAGCAGACTGAAAAAAAAATATATATCTGTGACAGTGTAGCAGAAACCAGAAGCTCACAATGTCGGCAATAGCTAGTATGATGGTGAAACAGACTCACACCACCCTTAGTGAGGATACTGAAGAGGAGGTATACTTGACTCACATTGTATTTCTCAAACACAGACTTTAAGTAACAGAAAGAGCACCTAAACACAAGGTTATCTGATTTGTACGAGGGGGGGTAGCCTCGAGTATTAATCAGATTGCCGAGTGTTTTGATGTTCTTTCTCTTTTGTATCATAGTCAAACCTAAAAACACGTTCCCTGTTGACACAATATGAAGCCCTGGAAAAAAGTAACCAATAATAAAGCATCTGAATATGTCGCTTTCCCTTTCTCTGCCGTCACAATAAGTAAACCCCAGCAAAACTGAGCCAATAATGGGCATACTCTTGGGTGCGGGTAACTAATACTTGCACTCCAGCACTGTGCATGTATATGTATACGATTTTACTCTGGCCTATTTTCAATAGAATGATACAACTGTTTGCTTTTTAATTTATTTAGAGACATTGAATTGAAAACTGTAAATAAACAGTGAACCGTCAGGTTCATAATCAAACAAAGGCAAGTCCAATATACTAGTAAAATAATAATAACTGAGTTGTTTGAAGAGTTGTTTGAAGAAAAAATATATTATAAGTGAAAAACAGGAATTTAAAGATTTCCTCATTGTCATTGCTTTTTTTTAATTGAATATTAAAATGAAGTTGAAATTTAAAAAATATGCTCAATCTTGAAAATTTTTAGAATTACGCACATAGATATGCACATAATGACTGAATCTTTAAAAAAATACAAATTTTATGATGTCAATATTAATTATTTTCAAGGAGCCAATGAGTAAGCAGCTGGAAATTCTAATGGAGCGTAGACGACAAGAAGAAGTCCGTAAAGCTCGCTTTCATTGGTCACTGCTCCGAAGTTCCATCAAGAATACAATCACAGCCGTGAAAGAATCTGATGAAAAAAATGTTCTTATATCTCATGGTATACACCATCTGCGAAAAATGAACCATGCAACTGAACTGAAACAAGTGGTGTTTATAAAAGAGCTGGATGTAAGTGCCTACTTTATTATTGATAATTTTCATTGTAATAGTTCATTCTTTTTTGCCTTATTTATTGAATGGTAAAGGTTCCTTTCGGTTAAGTCTACATTGTGTATCTGTTTTTCATAAAATTTGAACTTTCAAATTTGTTTAGGGTAATATTGATATTAAGTATGAAAGTTTTCAGTTCATTAAAGGATTGTATAGAAATTAACTCCAAGTTTAGTCTGCTGGCAGGCAGAACTCCAAACATCTTATTACTTGTGTTTGAGTAATTAATTACAGGTGATTACTATTATTGTAACTGATTACCCCATCTCTGCTGCTGTCATGCAAATTCTACCCATACAACCAGAGCAAACAAAGACCAGCCAACACAACTGTGTCATCTGAATGGTCTGATCTTGGTCTACATTGTTCAATATTTTGAAATTTTACCTATGAATGTTGTTATCCAGATTGAAAGATGGACAAGTCTATTTAAGATATTTAGCAGGTTACGGGTTAAAAGTTGAAAACTAGAGGGTGTTTGCTATATTCCTCTTTAATTTATTCTGTGCTGTTAATTTGATGTCAGCAAAATTTCTTCCTAATTTCAGGAATACTTGACCACTGATGGTAAGACTGTACGTATGTTTATGTCAGACGGACGGAAAAAGAAAGCTTATACCCCTGAGGAACCTATGGATCATATTTCTTACTGCTCAAACTTTAAACAATTTGTAGGCTGGATTACAGGTGGTGATGAGTTATTTGTAAGTTAAAACTTTATTTAATACAACATTATATTCTAGATATTATATGTTATTTAAATGGGGAAGAAAATCACCTTTTCTAGGTAAATGTTTGTTATTTTGATTAAAAAAAAACAATATTTTATTTATAGTTATTCAATTGGCAAAACAAAAAAGTAAAATGTATACTAATACTATAAGATTTCTACATGGATCATAGTGATGTCTGGTGCCCAGTTGACATTATTGATCATTATCAATATAAAGTCATGACTTGAATCAGATAAATAAATCAATATAATAAATGATGTCACAACTATTTATGATATGTTTTGGATACAAATTCTGGAAAAACAACATGTTTACAATAAGAAACATAGTGAAATTATAGTTGAATTCCAACCATGTTAGAGTTGCCCAAATACAGATTATACACACTGCTGTGGGATATCAAATATACAAATACTGATTATCTTAAATAATTAAGAACATATTGTACAATTATAATGTCTGTATTTCAAAGAAGCAATGTCTAAGCATATTAGACAGTATATTCCTTTAATAATTATGCTCTTGTATTATTGTTTATGATACAATTAAAGTTGTTTTATGTTTTTCAGCTGATGAACAATGATTTTGAGATAATATCTCAGTCACGAGCACCGAGTAGAATTGTCCTGGCTGATTATAACAAACACACTAATGAATTTGTCACAGTAGGGCCAGGATATTTTGTAGTAAGTTGAACAAATAATATTTGTTTAACAAGAAAATATAAGATTTAGAATATTTTTCAGAATTTAAATTGAATTTTTTCTTTTAACCTTTGTGATATGTTTTATAAGGCACACATTATCTCTCAGAAATGCTATCATTTTTTATTTCTCAAAATCTTTTTATTTTGATATCTTGCTACAGTTTAAAAAGAAAAATAATAATAAGAATCATTTGCCATACAGATGAACTGTATTTTGCTATGAAAGCAATTTATATGATTAAAGTGAATAATATTTTATATGGAAATCAAAATACAATGCTAAGTTTCTGACACAGTACAATTGCCAGTCAGTGCTAATTTCTTCAGTTGTTAATCATCCATCATGCATTAAATCCATGATTAAAACATTATTAATCACATGTTTGACATTTTAAAAGAATTAAAAAAAAAAAAAACATGGATTTTTAGCTCGACTTTTCTATGAAAAGGGGAGCTATCCTACTCGCCCCGGCGTCGGCGTTAGCGTCGGCGTTGGCGTCACACCTTGGTTAAGTTTTTCGTACCACCCCACTTTATTTCAGAAGTATTACAAGTATGGCTTTGAAACTTACCATACTTGTTCACCATCATAACCTCCATCTACAGACAAGAGTACATAACTCTGTCAAGGTTTTTGACAGAATTATGGCCCTTTTTTGACTTAGAAAGTGTATTGAGCTTGGTTAAGTTTTTTGTACCACCTCACTTTATTTCAAAACCATTGGAGGTATTGCTTTGAAACTGACCATACTTGTTTACCATCACGACCTTCATCAACAGACAAGAGGACATAACTCTGTCAAGGTTTTTGACAGAATTATGCCCCTTTTTGACTTAGAAAATACATTGAATATGGGTAAAATCCACTTATTGCCTTAACCCTTTGAGATATTGCTTTGAAACTTTTAATGCTATTTCACATCATTACCCCCATCTGTACGCAAGAGAAGGTAACTCTGTCAAGGATTTGTTTTAAAAATTAAGGCCTTTTATCGACTTAGAATCTTGGTTTAATACTATTAAATTTATTTAAGGCTCAACTCAGTTTTTTTTTCTTTCTTACCAGCCCTCTTTTGACTTAAACATTTCAAACTTTGCTGCAGTGTTCAAGGGTATCACACAATTCAGTAAAATAATTCTTCACTAAATATCTTAATGCTCATGGCCATTGTTCACTTTAAAAATACAGAGATTCTTGTATTGCCTTTTACTGCAAAAACTTTTTTTATTGGCAAGCAATAAAAAAGTCGAGCGCGCTGTCTTACGGACAGCTCTTGTTATGCATGATGTGCCTTTAAAATAATTTTTGTTTTGTTACAAATGATAATTCATGTAATGTCTTTTAGGAAATGGATGACCTGTTTAAATTTAATGATTCTTTTCTTAAAAGGAGATGAAACAACATAGAAGGAAATGTTTTTTTAAAACAATTTTTAGCTCGACTATTCGATAAGAATAAGTAGAGCTATTGCAGTCACCCGAGCGTCGGCGTCCGCGTCGGCGTCGGCGTAACCACTTATGTTAAAGTTTTTGTAATAGTTCAAATATTTTCAAAGTCCATTGACATATGGCTTTGAAACTTTGCACACTTGTTCACCATCATGACCCCAACTTGTAGACAGGAGAAGGTAACTCTATCAAGCATTTTGACAGAATTATGCCCCTTTTTCGACTTAGAATTTACGTTAAAGTTTTTGTAATAGTTCAAATATTTTCAAAGTCCATAAACATATGGCTTTGAAACTTTGCACACTTGTTCACCATCATGACCCCAACCTGTAGACAGGAGGAGGTAACTCTATCAAGCATTTTGACAGAATTATGCCCCTTTTTCGACTTAGAATTTACGTTAAAGTTTTTGTAATAGTTCAAGTATTTTCAAAGTCCATTGACATATGGCTTTGAAACTTTGCACACTTGTTCAACATCATGACCCCAACCTGTAAACAGGAGGAGGTAACTCTATCAAGCATTTTGACAGAATTATGCCCCTTTTTCGACTTAGAATTTATGTTAAAGTTTTTGTAATAGTTCAAATATTTTCAAAGTCCATTGACATATGGCTTTGAAACTTTGCACACTTGTTCACCATCATGACCCCAACCTGTAAACAGGAGGAGGTAACTGTATCAAGCATTTTTTTTACTATCAAGCACTAAGAATAGTCGAGCGTTGCTGTCCTACTGACAGCTCTTGTTGTAATAACTTGGACTGAACTGATATAGTTTTTTATGTATTTAATCTTGTTACATTACAGACGTGGGCATTTCGTTACGGAGCGAGACATTTAATTCCTCGTAAGATGAATCGTACAGAGTATAAAGAGAACAACATGTTTAGTCACATGGTGCTAGAGGGAACTGCTAGTAGATCACAGAAAATCTTCCTGTCTGTCCATACTTCATGTGTGGTAAGTATGGTGGCTGATTTCTGCCATTTCGTGTCTTTCGACTTCGTATTGACGACCTATATTTGTCATGTCTTTGCCTGAAAATGCACCCTCAAAAGTCAAAGGCGAAGACACAATAAGTGTGAGCTGATCTTTTTTTCTTCAAATGATGTCATGTTTTGAACTTTTATTCTAGATATTTAACAGGATGACATTAGTCACTTTAGGGTTTCCATATTTAATTGGTGTACGATAGCTAAAACATTATATATCCTACATTTTTATTTGTTTCAATAGACTCCGGAATGAAGATTATTTTGGGTTTTCCAGCTAATCATGCACTACAAATAAATTATTACAGTTACAGCTTCGAAAATAAGCTCAACAGGTTGACTTATTTATTCTGATTTGTAGTGCACCATGAAGCTATAATGTTAAAGTTTGTTTGTTTGGGGATAATGATTAGCTAGAAAGAACCCACATTTGCCGAGTTCCGGATTACAACTGTTGTCTGAGCTATCTATCTTTTGTGGCATATTTGCTTTTTTGATAATGTTTGCCTCAGATTTATTTATTGAAGAGGAATACATTAAAAGTCAATTTGATTTAAGTTTGTATGATTGTGATATAATTTGATTACAGGTGTACAATGTATTTGATGGGAAGCAACTGTCCTACAGGAAAGACCTTCATGAACGTGACATCACAGCTATGACCTTCTTTAATCCACTGAAATATCTTATAACTGGTGCTCTTGATGGAACTAGTAAGTAATGTATACATGTATATACCAATAGAAATGTGTTAATTCATAACAAATTCATGTTTTAGCAAAACCATACACATTGATTTTTGTTCAGCATGGGGGGAATGGTTGCATACCCTTTTACACTGAGTTGCTTTGCAGTATCTTTCACAGGGCAACAAAAAAAAGTAATATTATTACATGCAATAATTTTTTCACTACAGTTTAAAATACATTGTAAGTAAAAA